CTTAAACGATATTATAAAAAATTACACATTAAAAACTACAAAACATTTATATTTTGCAGCTGCAACAGTCAAGAGTTTTAAATAATCCTTTTATTTAAAAAGAAGTTAGAACATAAAGGGACATTCTTAAGCTAACACTATGAACTACAGCACACGGTGATGTAATTAAACAGGGACAGTCAAATTCAAACTAAAAATGTGATTAATAGTCAAAGACTACACAATTTAATTTGAATCTATGCTGACTCTATAACTCTATTGTTGTAATAAATTTAAATGTCGGCAATGATAACACAAAGACAAATAATTACAAATTATCAGAGCTGATAGTAATTAATACAGCACACAAACGGAAGCCAAAAACACACTCTGTCTTACAATTCAAAAAACTACATATAGAAAAAGCTGCTAATGTTATTTCTTTAGTACTATGAACATTTAGAATAAATACAAAATGATATATGGTATGGTAAGGGGTGAAATTTTGTGGCAGAATTTTTTGAATTTAGTGACACACCGAGCAACAAAATCTAGTAGTGGCAAAACTTTTAGAATTTAGGAAGACACTAGGCAGCAGAATTAACCCTTGCGGCATGGTGGGTCAATATATGTCCACCTAATTAATATTATTCTCAGTAGCAATTTCCGTTAGAAATTTCTAATCTTTTAAAAATAACTATTTTTAGTTATTATTTTTCTCAGTAGATGTCACTACTATATCAGGGCTTCAGTTATAAGCAAAAAAATTCAAATAGGATCACAAGAGTGATATCCATGTATCTCACATTTTTCATATTTTAAAACTTTTGGTATGCAATTTAGGATATGTATGATTCTTTTAATATTCAAGATATTTTATTTTCAAAAATCTTAATTTGGATTCATATTTTATAACATTTAATTTTGCAGTGAAAAGTGGGTTAAAATTTGTCCCACCACACACTTGAATTTCCGCTCAATAGATGGCAGCACTCACGATTATTTTTCTTTTCTTTTTTGCATCTACTTTTTCGTGAGTCGCGAGCTTTTACATCCGTGTATGCTCTGATGTGCCAAATGTCTAGAAAAAAATTAACAACTCAGGAAGCTTTGGATCTTTTGATGAATTGCCATCTGATTGCGAACTCAAATGCTTCAGATGTCAGTTCTGATTCAGATGAAATTGAAATCCAGAAGAGAATAACTGAGGTGAAGTTATGATGAGGAAGAAAGGGAGTAGCTATAATTTGTTTCGCTTTTTAAAGACACAGACCCATCTATGCATGTGACTGCCTCTATGAATGTGTCACTGTGAATATGAATCGGAGTATCTACCACAAATTTATGTCGAGAGGAGATATAGACTTTTGAGTTAGCCATGATTCAATTTATTGCATAAAAAGGAAGGATAAAAGATTCGTTTCTATCCTGTCTTGCTTGGAAAAGGCAACTGAATTGAAAGAAATTAATAGAAAAGAACGAGATGGAAAAACAATAACAACAACAACAACAAAAAAAGTACTGTGCCCAAACAGCATTATTTCATATAAGAATATGGGATATGTCGACTTATTTGATCAACTGAAAGGCTATATGAAATAGACCGCAAAAGCAAGAAATGAGTGGCACAGGATCTTTTATTTTTTTCCTTTTTACATGCGAGTATAGTAAACACATTTATTCTATTTAAGTTTGTTCGCGAACCCGATCATGTTGTAAAAACAATGAAAGATTTTAGTCTCTCAGTTATAGAAGGTCTAATGGCATTTGCAGGCAAGAAAGAGCTGAAAAATGAACTGAAATCCCCAGTTCAAATAAAAACTAAAAAACCATTCGTACAACCAGAAAAGACTAAAAAATGTAAGTTACACACCAGAGAGAAGGAGCAGCAGAAAATGTGCATATTGCAGCACATCGAAAGAAGAACGCCGAACATTTTGGATGTGTGAAACATGTGAAGTGCCTCCTATACTTACAAAAGAATGAAACAACATTTTTTCAAAGTTTTCATGAAAAATGACTTTTTTCATTTTTAATCATATATAAATGTTTTTGAATCAAGTGCCAATTTCAATATTTTATTTAGTATCATATGTACGTGTATCAAATTTTAATCTTAAAATAATATTCAAGAAAATATTTTCTTTTGTTCCTAAATTTAAAAATATTAAATATAATATATGCAAAATGTGCATATGCAAAATTTTACAAAGTCATGCATATATGCAATATGTACAAAATGCATTTAGTGTGTTATGAATGTTTAGAATGCACGCTTTATTTGTTTATTCATTCCACGTATGATTTTTTTTTCCTGCTATACACCAATATGCTATAAGACATGTGCTAGTTGCATGGTGGGACAAACGGTATCCCACCTTCCCCCGTAAAAAATAAAAGCGCAGAATTTTTTCCAAGCCTTAAAGACACTTAAGTAAGTCCATATGACTTATTCTAAGGCATTTTTTTAAAGATTAAAATATATTTTAAATATGCGTGTCGCAAAGGGTTAAGGACCCAAAGAGTAGGTAAATGCCTAGTGCCAGCCCTATGTATGATGCATTGAGACATATAAGATGAATCTTTTAAATTGCCAGTTTTCAATTTTTTCATAAACAGAAAAATTCTTTTCTGTAAATGCCTGTCCATGTGATTAGAAGAATTTTTGATATTTTCCATGCTTGTATCTAGTGAAAAATAAGGAAAATAAAGAGAAGATACACATGTTAAGAAAAAGACTTCAAGTGTCAGAAGCAAAACATTCAAATATCATATTTTCATTTCTCTTCTAAAAATTCTCCAAAAAGTATGAAATTCATCACAAACTTTCTGTAAGATACGTCTATTATGTTTAATACTATGAAGACAATTTTCATTTTGTCGCATTTTTCTGGAATCTTCTGGTTTCTTTTCTATTAAAATCCTAAAGAAAAATTACCCCTACCATTTCTGTAACAGTAAAAGCTAGAATTATTTTCTTTTAAAGAGATCAGAAAAGTGCAAAATTAATTTTATGGAGAAAACTGATGCATATTCTGTGAATTCTGAGACAATTATATGGGAAAAAAAGCTTACCACGAGGGGGGGGGAAGAGAGAGAAGAAAGAGAAACTTTTAATTAATTGCATAGCTATTTTGCTTTTGCTAAGAACTGTTTCGTAAACTGTGCTTTATAGCATTTATTACCTTATTTATTTTTCAGATTCAAAATATTGTACAATGATTTTCAATGTAAAAAAAAAAAAAAAAAAAAGGGGGGGTGCGAAAAATTCCCAGATTTCTGAATTAAATTTTTTTTATAGAAACTGATCTTAAAATCGCCAAAATGTTGATAAGTTTCCAAATTTAGAACTGTTTAACCCTTTCGGGACGGGCGTCCCATATACGCATTGCCTAAGAACGTCTCTTACAGCCGGACATCCCATCCACGCATCACTAGAGGTCGCATTTAGAGACGGGTGATGCGTACACGGATTTTAAGCTGGAACCGTTTTGTGAAGGCCACTAGATGGCATCCTATGTCCTATTACTTTTGAAATGAACACAGGTTTAAGTTCCTGACCTTGAGTTTAGATATATTCTGCTTGAACTTTGGTATTTTATTCATCAGCTGTTGCGAGGGTGGGGGGGGGGAAGCGTAAACAGAGGTGGGAACTCTCTAAATCGCCGCGTGCTAATGAAAACATTCGCATGTGTCTGAATTTATATCCAATTCCTTTTTTCCCCCTATTTTATCCTCTACTATGCACGGTCTTTTAAGGTTACTGTGTGGAGTATTCGTCTACGTTTTCCATTACCTTCAAACACATTTCCGTTTTCTTCTGTTTTTATTTCGGAAAGCCTCACCTCCAGTCTATTATGGCAGGAAGACGCCATTTTTTAGAGGAAGAATACCCTCGTATGGTCAATGATCCATTTATTAACGCACATGAGGGTGATGATTCATTTTCTAAAGAGTTAGAAAGTGATACTTTTTCTAAGAGTTAGAAGTGATACTTCTCCGTGCTTCGAGATTTACCACACTCAGTTTTCATTTTAAATTTTGTTACTTCTTACTGTAAATAGTCTTATTGTGTTGTTTTATTAATTTAAAACTTTATTGATGGATTTTATCAATTAAAACTTTGGCATAATTTGAATAGCGCTTCCGAAACTTATTTTACAAGATAAGCAATTTTTTAAGTATATTTTCATGTAAAATAAAGAAAAAAACGTTATTAAGTGCTAATTTTAACATATATAAGAGCTTAAGTAATAATCTAAAATGATATCAAAAATTACGATGCTAGAAGAGAAACTTTTTATTTTCTGATTTTTTTTATAAAATTAGGCTTAGCGATGCAAAACCTCCGTCCTGTATGGTGACTGCCTTCGATTCCCTTCTGTCCCGCACGAGCATCTTTAAACAAAGGTGCGCCATCGAGAAAAGGTTAATAAAAGAACTAACATCCCCAAATGTGAAAAGTTGTTTAAGAGCTCTTCATTGAAATAATATCAAAACGCTTATGTTTCACTTCTTGTCCAGAAATTCGAGTATCCAACCTTTATAATTAAGAACAAATTACAACTCATGAACCCATTCAAAAGATAACCATATTTGTCAGTGAATCGCTAAAAATATTCCTCCAAAATGCTAATTCATACTCAAAACGGCAGTTGTAAAACAGACAGAAATTTCAGATGATTAAAATTAAGGACTTTTAAGGACCAAAAATCGGTTCCCAAAAAACCAAAGGACTCTTAAGGACCATATGAACCCTGTTATAAAATCAGCTACTGATGAAATTACACACTTTTAATGATGTGTTTAAAATGTATATTTAAGAACTATATATTAACAATGAAAGCTATACAAAAATAAGCTCATGCAATTTATTAAACAAATTTTAAATTTGATACTCTACATAAAGAAATCACCATTTCATAAGTAGATTAAAATATTAATTAAAGCTAGATTACAACATTACAAAGTTAGCTTAAGATATTCTAGATATTCACAATTATCACAAAGAGTTATCTTACCTCTGATATACGCATGTAAATTCCCCTGCTGTTTTGACCAATATCAAAATAAAAGTTTTTATTTTCTACTCTCATATGTTGGCCCTCAGGCAATTCTCCCTTGAACTCTAGTGGGAAGACCATGAAAATTAAGAATTAGATATTTCTATTACATTAGTATTGACAAAGAACTTTACAGAACTACAGTAATAAAAATAAATAAATAAAAGCTGCTTACAGTAGTGTAAAAAAAAAAAAAAAAACCTAACTGAAAGTACAATATGAATATGGGGAGGGATTGATATGGATACCACACGACTTCCTTACACAGCCTTATTAAATTATACACACTTTTTGCTGTATTTCATTTAAACTTATTTCCCTTCCTAGCAAGGCAAAAATACATATAAACTCAAAACACTTTCATTAAAAGTACAGAAAAACATAAAACACCAAATACAGTTAAAAAAAAAAAAAAAAAAAAAAAAAAAAAAAAAACCCACCTACACCAAAACAAGTAATTCGGCCAGAAGGCAGGGAGACAAGTTTTTTTGGTGCACAAATCTAAAATTCTATAAAATTAGTATCACAACAATCTTGAGTTTAGCACAGATTTATGTGCAAGATCTCAATCGATTTCAAGGGCAAACAGGTACAGGTCCCTCTTTGTCAGGAGCAAAGAAAGCTGCAAGACTGGAAAGAAGTGGGTGTAATAGTCGTATTTATACTCCACAGTAAAGCGAGCAAGAAGGTAGCACCATCTATCGACAAAAATATTAAAGAAATTGACAAATTAAGTTAATAGAATTTTAAAAGCAAGGAAAGACTGAATTGGACTTCAGAGTCGCTAACTAAAATAATCTGTGAATGTGAAAAGCTTTAAGAAAATCCAATTCACCACCTGAAGCATATTTTCGAAAGCAGACCCAAAGTCAAAATTATGATTAAATTTTCAATAATGATTAGCTATCAAAGATTTGTTAATTTTGGCTTTTTGGACATAAGATTGTGTTCTTTGATACAAAACTTTAATGCACTTTTAGTTTGGCCGATGGACCTCATATCACACCGACACTATACTATATGCAATAAAACATTCCATTTCTCTGAGACTCTTAGATACCTTTAATTAAGTAAAGTTAGAGCCAGTAACAGCTGGGTAACAGAGCGGGTTTCATATAAGAACATATATATTTATATACTTATGGTGCAGCCAACTGCAACGAAAGAGGGAGGCGCACAAATGCATGCTACAGCACTGCCATATACAAAATTTCAAAGTTCTGATGTTACTTGCTTTTGAGTTATGTGAGATACGTATGTACAAACATTAGGAAAAATATATTCTGAATGCATTTTGGGAAAAGAGTCTTTTATTCTGTCTGTACATATAGATGACTTGCAAAAACATGGTTCAAATAAGTTCGAGAGTGCGAACTTTTTCACAATTACAATACTTCCTTTACCTCACACAAGAAAGTAAAAAGGATGATAATTACTAAAACAGTAAACATATACAAATTAATATTATCTATAATAAGAATATTTTGCACGTTTTAGGAAGTATAGAGACGGCAAAGGCTCATAGCTATGAAATTTAGAACACGAATTCTTCAACAAGGTATGAGGGTATTAGATATTCCCTCCCCCGAAAATTAAATAATATTTTTAAACATATTTTGGCTTCATGATCTAACTATCATCATATAACTTTAGTCTTCACACTATCACGATGACAAAAAAATGTTCTAAGTCAGTGGTCTCAAAGTGCATGTGGGTCAATGCATAGTTTGAAAGCAGTTGGCGAGCTGAATGTTTTAAAATTTTATTTTTCCAATATGTTTAAAAATTATGTTTGTTAAAATTAAGTTTAAATTTCATTAACATACATAAATAGTAATAACAACACAAAAGAAAAAATTCAAATTTATTTATTATCCGAAACCTAAAGCTTTATATTTAAAAGAAATTGGTTATCCTTTGTAATTGAAAGGTAGTGATAGCTAAAAATTAAATTTTCTGACTGACTTTCATTTCAAATTATTCTAATATACTGAATTAACCACTACATAAATTATTTAAAATAAACAAGTTATGTTAAGTTCCCAAGTGGGGCAAAACTTGAAAAATATTTTTTTTTTCTTTTCTTTTTTTACTTATTAAATTTTTATTTGATGCATGTAGAAAAACTACATATATTTGTTTGTACGGTGTTTTGATTTTGATAAAATTTGAGACCCTGAAGAAAAATTACTTTTATCATGAATTGTAGATGCTCCTCAGCCAATCTTGTTCTTTTTTTAGACGTACTAATTGCAACTGCACGGGAAAAAAAAACCTGTTCACATATAAATGTATATGTACAGTTATTTTTACTGCAAAAATTCATATTGGAGGGCATTTATTTTTTGATAGATAAAAGGGGGTGGGGATGATTAACCAAGTTCGGTATCTTCAAATCTCTGAATAAGATTTATATCACAGTATAAATCTCCATTTGTAGTTTTCCTGGGGCCCTATAAATTAATTAGCTCCGATGATTGTAGATTTGCTGCAGTGTTACATTTGTTTTTAAGGTAATAAAAATAATATGAAATTGAACTCAAAATCTTTAACAACTAAAAAGTTCCTTCAAATTCTTACCATAATAATTCTAAATTTACAGGAAACATACCTGAGGGCCAAGTAAGAACTGCCAGTTTAAGACCACTGCTCTAAATAATGCCTGTTCCGAGTCTTTTTAACACAATTTAAAAATTTCTTAAGAACTCACTAATTACCTTAAATTCTTTTTTTTTTTGTGTGTGTGTGTCATAACAATTTGTTAAGCTCTGTTTAAACATCACTGCACAACTTTCAAAGAATTTCTTTTTTTGTTTTTATTTCACTAGAATTTTTCCCTTCTACAACACATAATATCTAATTTTTCAATTCTTTGTTATATTAACTTTATTAGTTAAAAAAGTCACATCGTTCCTCCTTTCAAATAATTTTAGTAAACAGTCTACACCACATTTGATGTTTGATCGCTTTCAACGAATATGCCAAATTTCAAAACGCGGCAATATATAAATTAACGTACATCTTCGGAAATTTTGAATAAAAAACTATTTTTTTGCAGGTACGCTTAGAAATACGTCTACTAGATGGAAAAATTTTAAATTAAAAAAAAAAAAAAAAAAAAAAAAAAAAAAAAAAAAAAAAAAATTAAAAAAAAAAAAAAAATGGGTTTTTAGATGATTTTTCCATTGAGTAGATCAAAGTTTAAAAAGATAGATAAATATAAACCTCGAGCCTTTTAAGCTAATTTTAAAACTATGTCGGTTTTTAAACTTGTAGTTGGGAATTAAGTCAGATCAAATTAAAAAATTGTTTTATTCAGAAAAAGCCTGATTTTGTGTCAAAATACCTATATTAGAACAATGCTATATATAAAAATCTAATACATATCCCAAGTCCTGCTTTTTGAGCCAAACGAATGTTGGATTTTGTCAACCGGCCCAGTAGAACTGTCTCCCCCCTTTTTTTGGTGCAGTAAACAGCAACTTTTGGTTTCAAAATATGTGATACATGCTGAAGAAGTATCAATACAATATTTTTCTTCCCAACCATGTGTGGAATAATAGCAAAGTTCGTATCATATTTTTCAAGCATGTCATAAATAACAATGACGTTGGAAATATTTTACCATTAAATGTTGCTACGGCCATTTAACATGCATTTTATTTTAGGCATTATTCGAAGTAAAGTGCATATAGATTTTGCACATTGACAGCACTGGTAAAAAGACAGACTCGTTAACAGCACAAAGACGAAGAGTGAGAAAATCACAATACAGATACTACATCAATTACAATTCTGTTTTATTTCCTTTGGTTTATCAAAAGGTTTGGTTTGCAAATTTATTATTATATAAATAAGGACGTTTAATTTTACTAGTAGTGCTGTAATGCAAGCACATGCCTCATTAGCAATTAATAAAGATCATACAACAAGGATCAACTCTGAAATCACACAGCTTAGAAATCTTTACTATTTTTAGGATAGAAAAGAAAAATAATGAAATTTAAAAGAGATTCATCTTAACAACTGCACCCTTGAAAAATCAAAGACAGAACAAATTAGAAAACATTCTTTATAAGTCTATCTTCTTCTTTGGTTGAAAACACTCAGAAAATCATTTAAAAAGCAAAAAAACATATTTTCTAATTATTTTTTTAAAAACTAAAAGCTAGTCTTTAATTTCTTTTTCACTTTGTACACATACAATACAGGGAAAAAATAGCCACATTTCAAACTGAAATGGTAAAAAGCAGTTACATATTTAATGTAAGTATTAAACATCACATTTAAGACTTACCCCCATCATCAGTTCCAAATTCTTCTAATAAATCAGTTAGAGCATCTCGAAATTCTATCATACCTTGGGCTGGTATAGCTATTTGTGAACGAGGCCCACCTCTAGCTATAGTTTGGGAAACCTACATAAGACAAATTACTAATTAATGAAACTGAAAGTGCTATTTTCTGAAATGTTTTGAAACTTATGATGCTCTCCAAACAACAGTAGGTGCCACTTAATGTAATTGTGATTAATTTTATCATTTGGTTATTGTTGTTAAACAGGCAAAGTTTTGCCCTTTTGTATACAAAAACATTGAAAATACAATGGTCAAAACAGAGTTTAGAAATCATTAAGTACCAAATAGCCTGACTTTGATTTTAGTAATCCAGATGCAAAGGAACCAGTTTTCCAAGTTTTATGAATGTCAAAAGAATTAATCAGTTCATTACTGAATACAATAAAGTGATATCTGAATATTGCTGCACAGAGATGAGAGTTAGAGCCCTTTATATCATGGATATAAATGCAAATTAATTAGCAAGGGATATTAACCTTTTTGATGAGTTGCATTTGCTGAACATGCTTTAAAAATACATCTCAGAAGCGACAATAAAGAAGTCTCTTCATGATGCAATGTTTTAGTATATGAAAAAGTAACATCTCCAACTAGCAACGAGGATTTTAGTACTTGGGTGGATAATGATGAAAAAATTGTAGTATCGAAGATATACGACATTTGCCAATAGCTTTCTGACAATAATCCTGAAATAAGTGCATTTCTTAAGAATGTTGAAATTACGGATACAGTTTCAGTCAAATAATTTTCAGAAACACTATGAATACAAATATTTTATAAATGAACTATGCATAACAACTGCAGAAAATCTACTATAGACGATTTTTTTCTAATTAAAATGTTGGGAAATTGAGAATTTATATGTTTATAGAATATTAAAAAAATTTTATATTTTAAAGCATATTTTTCTCATTATTTAACATTATCAAAATAATGACGAACAAACATGACCAGAACAAGCAGCACATACTGTACATCAATAATACTCTATGCTGTAGGAAAGCGGACATAACTGTGAAAAAAATTTAAGTTGTGAAGATATTCCCAGAAATATAAAGAAATATCAAATTACAGAACTACTCACAGGCACAACCCATTTATTTTTATTTACTTAATTTTAAAATTTATAAATTTTTGGGCAAAATTAATACATACATTAATTCTCATTTAAGCAGCATTAAACCATTTAATAATCTACTAAGATACTTTATATCTTAACTAAAAGTACTTAAAATTTGAAAAAGTTCCTATTTTAATGCATAAATGTTTTTTGTTATCATCTTGGTTTGCTAGGACTTCCACACATGTACTGCAAAAATCATTTATTTGTCTGTCAATAGGGATATTTTTAAGTTTTCATTCATTTATCCCTAATCAAATGGAATTTTACAACATTAAAAATGGCAAGTTTATCTTTAAAAACTCAGTTGTACTTCAATAAAACTCCTACTTTCTAATTTAATAGCTGTAACTTCCTTTCAAACTACATGTTAGCAAGTCAAAAATGACTTTTATAGTTTGCAAAATTAATAATACAGATGGCAAGTTGGGATGAGAATATGCAGGGTTTATTAAAGAAAACTTAGGCCATTTAGACTGAAAATTACATTTTAAATTAATCACAGTGTGGTAATATATAAACTGTTTTAGATTATTTTTATCAACAACAATTTAGTTTTTTTTTTTTCTTAAAGACATGAGGTACATATATCTGTAACAAAAATTTTTTCCCCTTCCAATATCAGAAAAATTTTAAATATCTATTTTGACCAATGATATCAAAACTATTTTTAACTTTTTATATCTTCAGTAGCAAAAAATCATAAAGTGAACAGTTGACCGTAAGCATATAATGAAATAGCTCGTAGTAGAAATCGAGAAACTCCGACAACCACGCACATAATTCTTTAGGTAAACATGTCCATTGCAAGTTTCAATCCGGAAGCCATAAAAAAAATCACTAAACTGCACCAAGGTGGTTGCACCTAACATGCAAGTACCTGTAAGCTGAACAACCTATATTTCATCAGTTCTTTTGTCTGTTTTTTGTCCCCACCATCTATGAAAAAAACCAGTCCTATCTTACTTCTAAGAATATAAATACTGGCACTCAACATCACTTTTTTTAGAGCTGACAACTTCTATGGAAGATCAAAATCATTTGGAATTATGAGTGACTCTTAGAATCATTTTACTCTAGTATGAATGTTATCATGCACCTGATAACAAATGTCTACAAATTCATGAAGTTCATAGACTTAACATGCATGCAAGTAACTAACAGATTTTTAGTTGTCTAATTAAAAAAAGGGGAGAATAAGAATCATAAAATACTGAGTAATTTGGTAATGAGCCCTCTAACATTACCAAAAAACAGTTCTAAAATTTTTCAACAAACTATTCTCAACTTCAGCAAAAAAAAAAAAAAAAAAAACAACCACCATAAAGATGTCAACAACACTCTGAAGGATCAGGGTTTTGAAATAAGCATGCAATCACTTTTAAGCAAGTGAAGGGATTTTGAATAACTGTGCATGTGATTTTATTTCATATTCTGCAACTTCTATTGATTAATTAATTAATTCAATAAAGCAAATGAAAATTCAATTTGCATAGCAATGCCTTGAACATTAAAGACTGCAATATCTTTAAGCTGGGGGAACCCTTGTGAAGTTTTTCGTTTTGACATAGTTACTAGGTTAAATAAAATACTCATTTTTATTAGAAAATTAAATAATAATCCATAAGCATATTTACATTTTTACACTTGCAGTTAACCTAACTTTCTTTGCTTAAGAATAAGAAATAAAATATTTTGCATTTAAACAACAGAAAGTGTATGCACCTATCCCAGAATACAGTCCCATCATTTCTAGAACATAGCTGCTAAGCTTGCGAAAATAAATGACAGAAGATTTCAGAAAATAATGCAGAAGAATTCAGAACACAAAATATGAAATTACAAAAAAGGATTAGCATACATTTGAAACTTAATTAGAAAAAAGGAACTCCACTGAAGGGAAAAAAAAAAAAAAAAAAAATCTGACTAAGTAGCTGATTTTGCTTTTGTTACAGAAAATTCAGCTCCACAATTCTAATTACCCTGCTTATATTTGACAATCAAGCTATTCTTAAAAGTTTGTGTAGCCTAATCTAGATAATTTTTTTTTTTTTTTTTTTTTTGCGTATTAACACACTAAGCTCCAAATCTGTTCTGTCTTCCTTTTTGTTAGCTTACAATAGCGGTTGGAGATTTATGTAAAACTTGACAGAAAAATATTTTATTATATACAATCAGTCAACAGTAGTTGATGCAGTCTAAGAAAAAGTATACTAGCAGTTACTAATGGATTTACACACTCTGAATAGAAAATACAGTATCAACCACCAGCGACTGACATGGGAGTTTGACGTGTTAATACCATATTCCCCCCCTTAGGTTTTTAGTACCAGGTTTTGAAAATTGTACAAAATCTGCATAATTTCCCCTTTTCTCACCGTCTTCAGAAAACAAGCTTCTCTAATTTTAAAAATTACAATTCATCTCTGTAGTTATTGTTTTTGTCTTCTTAAGGGAAAAATGCTCTCAAATTACCCTCAAAGATCATGCTGAACCTTTAGCAGATGAACTTTATTATGCCCTGTGGAAAAATCCCCCAAATGATTTATGTATCGCTGTTAGAGGGCGCTTCGCTTCTGAAAAGGAATGTTAGTTTTATAGTTTGCGACGTAGTTAGTTAGCAGTGAACCTTCGATGCAATCCAGGTTGCTTTGTAAATAAAATGATTATTTTTGTAGATTGTTGAAGTATTTCACTTCATTTAGAATTAGAACAAGCTTTCGCAATATGCCCAACACAAGAACCAACACACATCACAGAGAAACAAACGCGAACTGACATTCACTCTACAGTTTGTAGAGTTAGCTGCATATTCATTTTCTCCAGTTATTTATGGATGATTTGAGGCATAAGGAGTAGTACAGACAACAATAAGAATAGGTGAGATTCAAGCTACACAAAAGTAGAAACAAGATATCTTATTAAATACTGTAATGCTTATATTAAAAAGTATTCTTATTGGAATGTAGATTTCTTTTAAAGAAACAATGTGACATTTGCCTGTAGTTTATCCATGATTACTTTTCATTTGTTGTGTTCTTCTTAATGTAACCGTGTCTTTCAGAAATGAAGTATTTGCATCATTTTTCCTTCTTGATTTTTGGATGATAAAATATTAGTAAAAAAAAAAAAGAGTTGCAATATGCAAGGAAATACGATATATATATAATCAAATTTTTTTAATTTACTTAATATAACTTTTATAACTGCATGCAAATAATATTTCAAATGAAATTTTATCCATAGCACTCTGTAGAAAACTAAATTTTAAATGCGAAAATTCTGAAAATATTCAGCAATCATTTAAATATTCCTTTACATGGAATTTTATGAAGTCTGATAATTTTGAAATATTGGGTCAACCAAAACATTTTGTGGATTTTCAAACAAAGTGCTTTTCTTCTAATTATTTTGTTATGGCTGCTATGGGGTAACCTTTATTGAAGTCAATGTGTAAATGCGATCTCGAATCATGTTGCAAAATTCTAGCATGCCCTGAGGCATAATTTTTGTTTTAGTGCAGCACTGAGACTAGGGAACACCAACGTTCATTTTATTATACCAGTTTCTTTTATTTTAGAAAAAAAAAAAAAAAAAAGGTGTTAGACTGCTTGTAAATAAAAGTGCTAAAAACTGTTTTTGACCACACAATTTCAAGGTACTTTAAGAAGTTTAAGCATGCAGTTTTCAGCCTCAAAGGTGATACCCACTTTGGAAGACAATCCATTGTAAACAAGGATCTATCAAAGGAAGCTATTTCAGAAAATCTATATTATACAGTTCAGAAACTCTCAGATATACTAAAAAATACAGAACACGATCATTAGAACAAGCATGGGTATGTCAGTGCTATGACCATAGCTGCCAATCCTGAAACTCTATGTGCTTTTCAAGCTGCATGGCAATATCATTTCAAAGGAATTCCAAACTTGCTGAAATTCACATTAAAATGCATGATTCAGGTTACTGAACTATTAATAATATGATTCTGACTGTAAAATATATTATTATTTAATTAGATATTTTAAATTTTATTTTCTTCAACTAATCTAAATTTTTAAAACAGTTTTACACTTTTATACTCAGAAAATCCTGAATAGGAAAGGACAGCTTCTATTTATCAAAGCAATTTTAAAATGATGAAATTAAATTAATATTAATGTACATAGCATTTATGTGGATAATAAATTTTACAATGTACCACAAATTGAAGTAAAATAAAATATTAATTGATTAAACATTTTAGATTCTTCACATATATTTTTACAAAAGTCTACAGCAGATTAAGACTTTTGTAAAAATACATCTTTAATAAAAGCTAAAAAAATTCAAAATCTGGAGATCTGATAATCTACCAGTAGGCCAAGAGTTGGAAGACTGGGAGAGTTGGTCGAATTTACCAGCAATGAAAGAAGTTGTGGTAGAATTTCTGCAGGAATACAGAATTTTGCTCAAAAATTTCTAAACAGACTAACAAGGAAATGCATTCCTCGATAGCTGCTACTGATGAGGATTGAACGAAGCTGAGTCCTCTCAATTTTCTGATGTTCTTTTAAGTGAAAATAGATCTCTGTATACTTCAGGATAAGAATAGAGCAAAAAAATTACAAAAAGATTTGAAAAAGAAAGTAAGTGATTTTATTTTTTAAATACATCAGGCAATCCTTATTTAATTAATTTAAATTGCTAAAGTACATTTACTTTTTATATGTTGATAATGTTTACGGATTTTTATGAATAGCTTGGAAATCTTTCTTAAAAAAAGGGGGGAGCACAAAAACCACAACTTGCACTTGATAAGTTAACGTTTACATTTCCATCTGTAAAAAAAAAAATCACTAAATGCATTAATATGCAAATATCAAAAACGATTATGGGATATGTATCGTCTTTAGTAGCAACCCCCAAAAGTAATGCTTTGTGTGCAAGTGGGCCTACAAAGTAACTGTATATTATGAATTGCTGTCATCAAATTGGACAATAAATTCAGAACTCTGTTCTCAAATAGTAATTTTAAAAGCAGAAATTGAAGCAAAGCACCTAAACTTACCAATCATACAGGTGTTTTTGATCATAATGATCAGCCTCATATTTCAATGAATGTCAGAAAAAGACTTATTGAGTATGGCCAAGATGTTTTGTTTCACCTTGCCCCCTCGGATTTTCAGCTCTTTAGGCCACTTCAAAATTCTCTGAACAGTCTGCACCTCACTTCTTTGGAGACTGACAAACAACACCTCAATTTTTACTAATAAACATAATGACCTTTCTTTAAAAAGGATATTCCAGCTGCCAAAGAGATGGCAAAAAGGTTAGACAACAATATAGTGCTTACATGACTCAATGAAATTTTCTTGTTTTGCACTGCTCTATTTATATTTATCATTAAGAAACTACAGAACTTCTCAAATGACTCGGTCTAATATAAATAAAGAATAATTTAAAGTCTAAAAAATATCATTAGGAGTAGAAGTATTTAAATCTGCACCACCACAGGCTTCTTTTACTTAATTCTACATAAAAATTTTTTTACTCACTTCCCACACTTTATATTATGCACAGCAATTTTTTTGTAAAGATTTTATTTCATATTACCCTTAGGAACCTTCCACGAGAATTTTCTTTCAGGTCCAAATAATAACGTCTATTATCTTTCACCATAACTTCACTCTTTAATTTTCCATCTTCTGGTAAATTATCAGGATTTGGAGGACCTTAAAGAAGACAGGAGCATAATTCTATTTTATACAACACTTAGGTGGAATTAAAAAATACAATAGATATTAAATACTCTAATTAATAACCAATGAATTGTACAAACACATTTCATAGAAACTATGGGCTATTTAAAGAATATTATTTTTCCAAATGGTTTAGACCTTAAGGGGGTGAATAATTAACTATTTTTTATTGCACTTAACATCTATACACTGGAATACAAATAACTGCACTGAAACTGAAATATTTAATTCTTCATTACTTTCATTAATGATGCAAATACTTTTCTCAGAAATAAAAATTAAATATAAAATAAATCAATGAGACACTAAAAATTATATTCATGCACTTTTAAACTGCTTTATTTTACATTCAAAGAAATGCAGGCACTTGATTGATTGGTAACCATCAATATATCACCAGCAATCTATTGAAGCTTTTTTAAAAATAAGTACTGTTTGGAAATAAAAAAGAAACAAGCAGAATATTGTTACCAATCTCATTTTTATATGAAAGCCTGTAACAATCTATTTTTCTACATAATTTCCATATTAAGGCACTTATCATATTGTACAACCGGTTTCTGAATTCCCTCTTCATAAAAGTGCGCTGCCTGATTTGACACCCACAACAACATGGACGTTTAGACTTTATTGCCCTTGCGGCAAAGACCACCCAAATGCTTCTTCAAATGCAGGAACAACTGGTAGTCATTAGATATTGGATTGGGGCTGTACGAAGGATGATGGTCATGCTGTTCCCAGCAAAATGACATGATGAGATCTTGAATTCATTTACCTGCAATGTGGACAAGCAATGTCTTAAAAGTAAAATGATCCCCCTACTCAGCATATCATATCTTATGTTCTGAATTGCATGGCACAGTTTGTTTAAGGTCTCACAACACATTGTAGAATTTACTGTGTCACCATGAGGCAAAAAATCCCCTAGCAATACCCATTTTCTATCCTAACACACAGTAGACACGAGTTTCTGGACTGAAACTCTTCGCTTGAATTCATTCGCTTGGGTGATGATAAATGGCATCATTCCATGGATTGCTGCTTTGATTCTGATGCGTAAGCCACCCAAGTTTTGTGACCTGTTTAGATTTGGCTTAAAAAATCCTCGCTGTACCACCAAAGGAAAGTTAAAGCACTACCTAAACATTTGGTTTTGGGCACCTCTTTCTGTAGTTACCTTATCATTTTTAGTACGCAGCATAAACATAATTTCCATAATTTAAGTTTTTGCTCATACTATCATGGAGAATACTGCCATAAACCCTAGGAAAGTTGGCAGATAATGATAAAATTGTAAAGCGTCTGTTCTATTTCACTTGTTTGTTAACTTTTTGCACCAAATCTTCAGTAATGGCAGACGGTCACTCACTTCGTTCAACATCAGAGCACTCAAATGCACAAATGTACCTTTCCATTCCATTGCTCATAATAATTTCTTCACACATTTCACTAACGTGATGATGAATTTCAGTCGCTTCCACTGCATCCACCACTAAGAAAACATAACACCAATTGTATTTTGCAGTCGACGGGATCCACAGTTACCTACGCCATTTTAAATACTCAAAAACAAATGTTAACACAATCGAAAATTTCCATAATGGTGCATGTGGCTTGCCAACAGATGTAAGTAAAAGTGCACCCATGGCAAATGCCAACCGTAGTGCTGCTGCATCAGAATTTCAAAATGGTACTTGCTTTAAAAACAATCATTATATGATGCAAAATGTGTAAATTTAGTACAAGATGAACAAACACTGTCCCCAAAACTTTTAATGTGAAGAAGCTTAACCACCCAAAAATGATACAGTGTTCTGCTCTTGAGAGTTGACATAAAAATATATCCTCGTAAAAAGCCAGGGCATGAGAGGAAATGAATACACCTCTTTAGTGAAGAACTCAGAAGAGGGCACAAATGAATCTATGATATCTGCTTTGAAATCAAAATGTAGATCACCCTTCCCAAATTAGTAAGAAAAGAAAAAATTGTATATTTCCAGAAGAATTTAAAACAATTTCTCAAGTTCCACAATGTTTGCAGGTAAGCAAAATCCAGAGTGGTATTATTGATGGTGAGCTGTTAATATCCAAGTACTGAAATACACAGTCATGTTTTTAACAAGTAAATTAAATATCTTAACCTTATGCACTGGCAACAACTACCTGAACTCCTTATACACAATTAATCTGAAGGTAAAGTAACATAGAATTGGGGGGGGAGGAAATATTAGTTTATAAGCATTCCTAATGTCAATAAAAAATAAATACAAAGGCAACTAACCGATTCAATAATTAAAGGTAGTGAGCTTAAGAAGTCTCATACTCTCGCCCTCCCAAAAAAAGAAGCAATAAATGCAGGAACTAGCACATTCACTGCTATTTGACATACATATTTATGAAATGAAACTAAGTTTGAAATATCATGTATGGACATACATCTTCTATCAGGTAACAGGAATGAAATATAGGTCTATTGCAACAAGCAATAAATTATATATATATAAGTAGAAAGTAGTACACAAACAAATACACACACACACACATCACAGACCCAAAATATTGAACTTTACATTTTACACTGATTTGCAAAATTTTAAACTCAGCATTGTTTTTTTAGTAATTAAAAGTTTATGTGCATAAATCACTGCTTTTAATATTTTTAATCTGGATCATCATTTTTTAAACTAACAGCAGCAGATGATTAGCATAATAAGGTTCTGTTTATCTTTTTAACATGTTTACAATGCATGCCTATACTTTGAAAGGAATATTCCTCTATTTTCATAATCTATGGTTTCTGGTTCTCTGATAAAAATAGGATTCGAATTTAAATATTTATTTTTTCGACAAATTACACCATATTGCTTAACAGTTTCTCAAAAACTTTCTAACTGGTTCTCTATCCAGAAACTTGGGAAATGCCAAATTCTGGATAGTTGAGTGCATGAAAATTGGAATTCCTGATAGAAAAGACAAATGAATATGGAGGCAATTTTTTGATTAAAATATAAAAACAGTCATCTTATTTTTTACCAACTTGAATACCAAAGCCTACATTTAAAATGATAGATTTTGGGGAAAATATGTCTTTAAGACATAAAAGCAAACACATTTCATAGGCTTAAACATGAAAGTAAAATATTTTATCTAATTACAAAATCCTGCTGAACATGAAAACTGGCACAAATGTTGCCAAAAAACATGCACCAGTCTCTCAGGCAGAAGTTTAATGGAACAGACTGCTCTTTACATAAATAGATCCAAATATGGATACAGCATATAAAAACGTGAATCACTTATTGCACTTTTCCATGTTGTATAACCATTGTTTATTCATTTTACAAGAAAGTCATATATTATGGCTCTTTTGATGCCAGGATCCAGCACTTTAGAAATTACTCCATTGCATGCTGCTTCATGAAAGGCAAGCTCCAAATTTTAATAATTTTTTTTTCAAAATGCGAATAAAAAACAGCTTATATCCTTCTTTAACAAAAACTAAACTGGCTTCAGCTTACCCAGAATTTATCAGGTTTACATAAAATCAAGGCGATGTTCTTATGATTGTGTTATGATGCCATTATTATTGTGCTATGATGTCTTATTCATTACTGGCACTAAATTATACTGTTTGACCACAGTATATATATGCTGGTAGCACAACAAGCTTTATAATGGTGACAAATCTCTCATTTATTTAATTTCTTGAGAAGAATTTTTTTCTGAAAATATTCTGAGACTTGGGCTTTCCAGTTAGCTAAATACAGGATAGTACCATACTTTCAAATGCATGACCATACACTCATTAATTCCCTAACTTGAAGATCTTATCTACTCCCAAACTTATCAATTTCAGCTTCACTAACCTGAAAGATAAAAACTGTCCCATTTTATATCTGTTACTTTTGTAAATTAGAATTTTATCATACAACTTTTCCCTTTGTTCCTACTATAACATCGATCAATTGATTCACACATAAAAAGAAAAGTAAATAAATTGTGTATCAAAACCATAATCCAATCAGGATGTTTTAAGTACATGTTTTCCTCTTCCCTAAAATTTCTTTGAATGTTAGGCAGCATTGGTAACAATGTGTGAAATATAAGACAATCGTCTGTTGAAAATAAAGATTATGGTACCAATGTTGCTGTCTAACAAAATCACATAATTTAACAATACTGAATGTAATAAATATTGTGTACTATAGTGTAAATAAATAAATCTGATCAGTACAAAGTCCGTAATCCGGACTCATCAGGCGATTCCGAATTATAGATCATCAATTTAAATCTGGTAAGATGGCATGCAGAAATTATACAATTAAAAATATGAAACCATAATTTATGAAATAAAGAGCAATTATGATCTAAAGGATAACAAAATTTACCAAAAAAGCTTAACATTTATTTGTTTACTTTATTAAACATTTCTTTCAATGCAAGTTGTTAAAGTTGCTTCGTTTTTGTGCTAATACTTTCTCTTTAATTCTATAAACAGACATAATTTCTTGTTCAGTTACAAAGTTCCACTGTTCAAGTCCTGTAAATGCTGTGTCGAAAATACAGACTTACTTGTCAATCGAAATTTTTTCATTTTCAATAACCCGTCTGTCACTTTCTTCATTACGGAAGCAGTATTTTCTGGATCTAGAACCATATTACAGATTCTGCCGTCTATTAACTGATTGATGATTGGGGCATTGTCGTCGCAATGAAAAACTTCTGTTATATCATTTATTACCGCTCTCCATATTTCTTTAAAAATCCAATAACTGGAAAATTTCACCTTTAGTTTGCGATGTCTGAAAACCTTCAAATTCGCGGCTATCATCTTCGGGGTTATTCATTAAACGCGTAAGCACATTACGAGCATGTGTAACGCATACAATAAAAAAAGGTTGTGGCTTTGAGGTCTGGATTATAGATCATTCCGGATAATGGACGTCCGGATTACAAACTTTGTACTATATTACATAAAATGCCATCAGATCTATTATTACCCAGAACAACAAGCTTCTAATTGATTTTTTTTTAATTCATAGACTAAAGTTATAGAATGCTTCAGTACTTTAAACAACACTTTCAATTATGGCTCGGAAATTTCAACAGCGTGCACGCACACACACAAAAATATTAAATACAGTTTAGACAAATATTTGAAAGGACTTTTGGCCCACTTAAACAAAGATGAACTAGAAAGCGAAATTCTGAATAGCACATTATTCAGTTTTCATCATGAAAAATTTTTTCTGTTAAAAGAAAACTGAACAGATGCAATTAACACTTTCAGTGTTGGTAATTTCCTTAACAGTGGGGGGTACTATTGCCTCTAATCTAGCTCACTTATTCCCAACATAAAAATTGCCTAAATGAATTACAAATAAATTCTACAGAGAATCTGATATAAATGCTTTGAATTTTACAGCCAAAATGAGAAAGCAGTTATTAAAAATCATCTATTAGTGATAATTTCAACTACATAAAATTATGAATAAGTCAGACAGAAGCATACACTACTAGTGGATATTTAACACAAATGAAAAAATAATTATGCTGCTGCAAAATTGAGACCAACAAGGCAATGTTTTGTGTGTTGCTCGAAAAGAACAATTTTGGAAAATGGATGAGAAAAGAAATGCGATATTTTTCTTCTGATTGCGATGTTGGACTATGCTTGTCTCCCTGTTTCAAAAAGTATCATACAAAAACTGAATTTTCACCGCTTCCCTTACAAATTTTTTTTGAAAAAAATTGCAAAAAATCACATTTTTTTAAAATTTTATTATTAAATACAACAAAACGGAACAAATCAAAATATGTAGGTTTTAAGTTGAATTTTTAATTTTTTGAAGGTGTAAAAGCATTTATTTTTAATATTAGTTTACTATCCCGAGTTATCTCGGGCAAACGGAAAAAAGTTAAATATTAATCTTTGTATGATAGTTTTTGAAACAAGGGACAACACAGAGTGATTCCAGACATTCTACACTGGTATCTGGTCTCTTTTCTTACTGGCTTACCACTGGAATCTCTTTCACGGGAGCACAGAGTACACTGTCTTGTTGGATTTGATTCCCCCACCCCACCTCTTCATAATTATTATCTGAAAAATCATCGCCATCATTTTATTTTTTTTTTTTCAACGCATGCATCCTTCTTTATACATTACTAATCCACAAGCCAACGCATACAATACAATAGGGAAACACATAACCAGTTCCTCCAAAAGAATCATGCAACCAACAAAATTTGGCAAATTGCCAATCAAAGCAGAATATTTCCTTTCATTTCCTCCAGACCGAATAAAAACGTGATAAAAGAAATCGTACTAACAAATTCTGCTTCGCCCGAGTTTTCTCGGGATAATAATTAACTGCAATATATACGAACCCGAGATAACTCGGTATAATCAGGCAAGCGGTTAAAAGGAAAATTAATTTAATAACAACAAAACATTTAAAATTCTGACATCTATTTTTGTAAAGTGTTCTTTCCAGTTTTGCTTACTTCTTCGGAGAAAAGCCAACTTTATGGAAAAATGTGCTTTTTACGATGAAAATAAAAATTAGCATAAATCAATAAATTCAATACTTGTAATAGTTCTGACTGCTGATTTGGGTTTATATAATGAATTTCTTCATAAAAATGTTTATCAAAAATATGCTTATTTTTTGTCATAACATGACGGAAAAAAGAAACAGTTAAGTGGTTAATAATACTTTTCTTATTTAAATGAAGATCAAACTTTAATGTTTAATTATTGTTAAAATAATTAAACTCTATTTTAAATATCTGCAAGTAAGGTAAGATTACACTTAACTGAATATGGATATTAATGGAAAAACTAACATACCTAAAGAAGCATAAAGTTCACTAAATGAAGTTAGATGATCTCTGAATTCAGCAGCTGTAGACATAGCTAGAAGTAGCCTACTTTTTCGACCAGCTGCACCAACCTGTTATAAAATATTTTTATTACATTAATTATTTCAACTACTTTCATATAAAATAACAAGATGCTGGACAGTTTGCTTTTAAACTGTGCAGCAACCACAATAATATGAGTCTGCTTAAAAGGAAATGTGAATTAGGTTCAGGGACAGAAAAATTACATTTTTGATTTATCTACTTTGGAGTGCACTGTGTGTGTTGGAGGAGAAAGATAATGAGAATTAATGATTTTATACTGAAAAAACAAAAATTTTACTGATCATGAACACCTACATGTTTCAGGACAAACTACTAATGCTCTATGTTCTTTGTCATCTTATCCTGTGGTGGACAGGGTTGGAACAGGTGGGACCATGACACTTAAAAATATGGCAGCACTTTCTATCTGATGCTGCCATTGGAAAGTAATCTGGAGTAAGACATCTCTACATTTTCTTCAGAAATATAACTTTACTATATTACTTTCAAATCAGCTTACAGAAAATAATCTTTTATAAATTATTTTTCCTTTTTAGGATTTTTAAAGACATTTTCTTAAATAAATACATTTTGAAGAACCAATACATGAAGAACGGACATTTTTCATGTCATAAAAACTCAGGATGACGTTCTAAATACAAGAATGATTATCAGCATTTTACCTATCCTCAAGTAATTATTTTATTTGCTTCCATAACAAAAATATTATAATCACCATCTTTTACATCTCCAAAACTAAACAATATATATTAAAATGCTTAAATTCTAACATTCATATTTATAATAAAATAATAACCTAACAAACAACACTAAAGATTTTAATCTAAAGACTAAAATATTTTAAAAAGTTCATTATGTAATATTTGGAATAACAAATACCGAAAGAGTAACTGAACTGCAATTTGCAATTAATAAAAAATTAAATATTTTATTAAATACATGATTAAAAATGCAATAGTTATTTATTATAATTTTTAGTAGCAATGTTCCCTAATATAAGTTCTTTCAATCAAATATAAATGCATATACTTATTTTAAGTTTGACATTTTACGACAATGGTAGATTACCATGATAATTTCATATGTTTTAAAATCAATAACACTTTTTTTGTATGCTACACAGAACAGCTTTGAATAATATATACAATAAATTACTATGCACCTGCTTTTTGTTAAACAGGATGTTATAAAACCCCTTTTTCATTTAAGAAAAAATAGAATTTTTCTCATTATCACAAACATACATCAAATTCAGCAGCGAAAATAAAAATATGCTTAAATATAATAATAAAAATCAAATTGAAACAAATATTCAGAGCAGTTTCCAGTGGCGACTATTTGCGCACGACTACACAACTCCCCACCAAAATGAAAAAGTAAATTGGAGAAATCAGTTTTACATCCATTATTCCAAATGCTCTCTATTGCATTTTCCCATCAGTCAATAATCATTTTGTAAAACTGATTCTGTTCTCCAAAGCAGTCATCCTGCATGTTCTCCACTTCTTTTGATTGTTCCCTTTCCCAAAAACTTAAAGTTGCCTCTCAAACAAAAGTTTTTTTTGACAAGAGACAAAAGGAATATGACATCTACTCTTAAACCCCTATGACATGTTTCTGCTATGCAGACTGGACATCGAAAGGGACATTCCTAAAAACTCACATTTCCACAAAAACTAGCATAGCTAGGTAACAATTTTCTTTAACAGACTAGAACGTCAAACAGTAATCAATTATCATTCAGATTGGTGAAAGAGATGTTTGTTTTCAAATTCTATGCTGCATTGCTCTTAAGGAAGCATTTCGATATTTTCTTTTTGAGATTTTAAACTTGTTTGTTATTATGGAAGATTAAATGTAATATGAGGGAAATACAAATGAGTTTTGCTACGTTTCAGCACTTCATAAATACTATACTATATCAAAATAGCACATTCTGAATTTTACAACTTCCTTCTTGTTTGTTTCATTGTTTAGAGAAAAACTTAAAATAGGTACAATAAAGAAATCTTTTGATTTAAAGCATTCAGTCAATAATAATGAGTTATTTTAAATTAGGTTCTGTTCGTCACTAAAACTCCTAAAGCATTTGCTGATTTTGTAATACTTTTCTAAATCTTTTAACAAGAGTCATATATAGTGAAATACGTTTAATGAGAAAATGCTTAAGATGAAGTATTGGTTAACACAAAATAATACAACGGTCCCGACAAACTATTATGCATTTTTTTCTTTTAATACGAAATGAAAATCACTTAACATGAAAAGATTTTTCCTTCTGGGAATAAACAAAATATGGAAAACACCAGCCGCGCAGGAAAGGTTTAAGAGGGGTGCGAATTGAAAGAGAAGTGGTTTCGCAAGTTTCGTAGAAAGGCTTTGGCTTGAACATGCTTTGAAATACCCTCGGAACAGCTTGTGACATGAGCCAATTTTGTTTATCTAAGCTGTTTTCACCCTCCCCCCTACAAACACCACACAAAATCATCTCATCTCTCATCAGTTGGCTTTGGAATTTGGTGACAAGTATATTGCAGTGTGTGTAAAAATTAGTGAGGTTGGTTCGCACCAAAAGAAATGGAAAAGGAGGATATTGAAACTGAACTGAGACTTGATGAAATGTTTGAGAAAGTTTCTGTGTTACTGGACTGTTCCTACTGTATCATTCGGAAGAATTTGCTATTTGTTGAAGAATAACAAGTAGATGATAATGTGTGTACTGCCCGAATTATGGCAGACAAAGACAGTTTGGAGTTCATTCAAAGCTAAAAAAATATTGATGCAGATTCCGATGATGAAAATAAAATGGATAATGTCCCATACTATCTGAAATAAGGAACATCATGAAATGTATGCACACACATTCCAAAGCTGAAATGAATAACAAAATGGACGATATCGAACAATTTGATGCTAAAAAAGACAAAGCAAAGAAAAATATCAGATTATTTGCCAAAAACTCAATAAATGTTTTGTTTTTCAAAAAACTTGAAAATTTTGATTTAAATTAAGTTCTTGTGGATATTTTTGTTTCATTGATTTTTATTAAATACATGCATATCTATGTGAATAAAATATACTCTAATAAACTTAATTTTGTTGAATAAATATATGTATATATATATAAAATTTTTATTAAACATTTTACATTATTAAAGTTTACAGCATAGATTTTTACAATAGCTCTCACAGGTAGCAGCTGAACACTCAACTTTACATTGTATCAACGCCCTCTGATGCTGGACAATTCTCTATTTATACAGATAGCAGTAACAACTACTCAACTTCACCTAGTTTAGCAAATGCTAGTCCACATTCAGGAATTCAAATGTAGTTCTAGGTAAGTTAAATTAAAACTTGCTATTTACTAGCCTTATTATTATTATTATTTTTATATTTTATTAGATTGTATATAGTTTATTTAAGGTTTACATGCATAATTCATGTAGTGGAAGTTTTCAATAGGCAAGAGTTTCTAAATTACTTTGGTTTTCTACTCTTAATTGACATTTAATTTTATTTTTCTTGTTAAATTCTCAAAATTCCTACTAGTTTAAATTTCTTTTTTGTAATTCCCAACATTTGATTTTACTTTTACCCTTGCCTATATGGATGACAAAACACGAATTGAGTAATTGAAGAGTTAGGTCTGAAGGCAACTTCCTTTTGATAAGTTCGTCTTCTGCCTGCTCAACAAGTATTCACTTATGCAATTTAATTTGGTCTTAGAGATTCCTTAAAAAAATTGTTTAGATTAATTTTTGGAATTATATATTTTTTCATGGTTTTAGATACACGCACTTAATTTACATATGCTCTTAGAATTTAAATGATATTATAATTAGTCTGCAGCAATAATTAAATTTTTCATTTTTGCATTTAAAATTTCTTAATTAAATTAAAAATTTATATTAGATTTATACAAATAGAATATCTGTTATATATATATATATTGCAATATCCTTTAACACGAAATCCTCTTAACAGAAAAAAATACTTCAGTCCAAACAGTTTTGTGTTAGATTTTCACTGTATGTCTATTTCACTTGCTATATTGTTACATTATACTCATATTTATGCCATAATGTAACCTAGTAAAAAATAACTCAGAATGGTCAATCACCTCTCAAACAGTAAATATGAATATGCATGTAAAACATATAATTAATGCTAACAGAAAGTGAGACTGAACTAGATAATGAGTTTTTGTAATTTTTCTATTGTAATTTGTAGATAAAAATTATTCAGTTGAAATATGTTTTTCAAATGTGATCAGTGACTTTGAACATTTTATATTCCTCAAAATAAAAACATCAAATGCAATATTATTTACTCCCTGAACTCTTATTTCTCTATTGATGCAATGTGTATCATAATTATGCACAAAATAAACTTATACAGGGTTCGTACACATTTCTTCACATGGAAATTAAGTACTTTTAAGAACCATTAATGAAAAAAATTAAGGACCTATGAGCAAATGGGAACTGAATAAATTCAGTTAAAAATATCTATGACTGAACTTTTGTAATACAATCCTAAAAATAAAATAGAACAGTAAGTAGGATGAATTACTATTAAACATGAATTAATTAAAATTATTAATAAGTTTGAGAATGAAATCAACTGTATAAAATGTATCAAGCAGCATTAAATATTTTACACTTATAATAGTTGGACATACTTGAAAGAAGATAAGTGACATTTTATTTATGTTTTAAAACAATAAGCCTTGCGTTGATTTTTTTTTTTTTTTTTTTTTTTTTTCATTTTGCCACATACTTGCTTAGTCTAGAGGTTTAGTAACCAGCAGGTAGATTTTATGTAAGGCGGCATATATTAAAATGAGAAGCAAGATCATAATCAGCATGATTCATAACAAAAGACTGGATGCTGTCATCGAAGCTGCTGGCCTAAAGAGAGACCTGCTGATTAGAACAAACCTGAAAGGCCTGATATAGGCATGGTTGGCAAGTTTTGAAAGTTAGTCGGGCTCTGTCTGATGCAGTTAGTGTCATAGCTTCGT